ATGTATCTCTTTCTGTCTCTATTTCTTTCTTTATCTATATCTTTGCTTTTCTCACGTTTCTCTCTCTCTCTCTCTCTCTCTCTCTACTTCCTTCTTTCTCGCTCTCTTTCCCTTTTCACTCCTCTCTCTTAAAATATAATAACAATAATTATATATATATATATATATATATATATATACATACATACATACATACATATATATATATATATATATATATATATAGTAAATTTGTAAGCATTGACTACTACTGCAGATAATGCAAACCTCTTCCATGAATTGAGCCCTCTATGTCACTGGCGCGTTTATTCAAAAGAATAAATACGAAAAAATTCACCTTCCCCTCAACCAGGCGCTGACAGCTTAGGAGCTAAATCAGTCGGTTTCGATCCCGACTTGAGGCAATTGGATGTCTAGCCACACTGATGAGCTGTAATACAACGAAACAGTCTTACTTTGGATGACAATATATATATATATATATATATATATATATATATATATATATGGTCTAGGCCCCTTCTGTTTGCCTCGTGGTTCTTGCTAAGATCCAGAGGCAGATATGTAATATAATTGGCCCGGATCTGTCATCTCGTCTACAGTCGCTCTCACACAGACGCGCCGTCGCCTCTCCCTGTCTTTTTTTTTCATGGTAATTGCTCCGAGGAGCTGCATTCGCTGGTTCCCAGACTTCATGAGTTCAAGCGCCCTATGAGGCTTGCATCCCGCTCTCACCCCTTCACTGTCAAAACTCCTAAATGTAGCCGTCTCTTCTACTCCAATATTTTCATGTCTCGCACCTCTCGCCTGTGGAACTCCCTCCCCTTTTCCTGTTTCCCTGATAGCTATAATCTCCAACTATTCAAATGTAATGTCAATCGACATCTCCAGTTGTCTTGATCTATCCCCTATCCTTCTCCTCATCCTTTCCTCTATCACTCCTATCTGATCTTGCTCCAAATCTTCTGTAACCCATTGCGTCCCAGTGGCTCCCCGCCTTGCTTGGGGTGAAACGCTTAAAAAAAAAAATAAGGGGACATTGAAGTCAACATCCAGCGGCGATAGATGGTTTTATGCTCATATGCAATCGTCTGGCCATATGCGTTGTGTTTACTTGACTATTTATAGATACAGATCAGTGATGTATTTGGGTAGTCTATTATATTGTTCTAATGGTCATTTTGGTGGGCGGTAACGGTTATGTTTAGAAAGATCCCAGGGGCTATTAGGTGGATATAATTGTGGTTCCGGATGCATCTTTTAGTTATTTATAGTGTTGCTTATTAATTTTAAAAAAATTATTATTGGCTATACTTAAATGACCCCGAAAACAAAGAAAGTACACACACAAAACATCGTTTACAAATAGTAAATGTGCGAAAAGCACAATACTTTCTAAACATATCTGGGAGATTAAAACAAAATCCATATCACACCAAAAGTATCATGGAAAATAACGAAAAGAGTAACAGCCTGCAACAATAAATCCAAAACCTGTAAACTTTGTCTGCAGGAGAAACTAGCTATAATTGCCTTACATGACCAACAGAAACTACTAAATAAAAAACAAATTTTTACTGTTACTTAAAAATTGAAAACTAAAAACAAACAAAAAGAAACAAAAATAAATAGATTAAAAATATAAGTGAAATAAGTTAATTCAAACCAATAAATAAGTAAATAAATTAATCAAACAAATTAACAAACCACAAACGCACACGGAAACACAAGTAAATGTAAATATAACAATCAGCAATATATAAGGTAACAAACATTATGAATAGCCAAAAATGCATCGGGATCAACAATTATTCCCACCCAATCGCCCCAAGAATAATTTAAAACATAACTGTTACCGCCCACCAAAATAACAGTAAGGCTTCCTACAAAGTAACACTGACGTGTATATATAAATAATCGAGCAAAAACACAACGCATATTGTCTGAAGATTGCGTATAAGCATGCAACAGACTGTCGCCCTTGGGTGTTGACTTCAATGTCAATTATATATATATATATATATATATATATATATATATATATATATATATATATATATATATGTATGTATGTATATGCAAATATGTAAAAAAATTGGAAAAGAACACGTTAGGTAAATAATCTCGGGTTCTTTAGTATTTTTTTTTTTTATTTTAAACTACACATTATTAAGTTTCTAAATAATGAAAATTTATTAAACCATAGGCATGAGTTAACGGTTTTTCGCCGACATCAACAAATTTTTGCATTAAATAATTAGCATAAATAATTAAATTTCATAGTCTAATAAAAGGTTTAAAAGCTTAAGATAGAAAAACCCTTTATGATATCGTCAAAAAAAAAAACAAATTGTAGTTCAGTGCGACGCGTTTATGTACGAAACAGACCTTTAGAAAAAAAAAATTCTTTAGACTCTTAACGACGTATTATGGTGCCAGCAGCTACATGAATGCCATCTTTCGGTTTGAAATGGACACCCCCGGCCCTCTTTCTTTCTTTTGACCTCTTTCCTAAGGTGACTGATATGTGGATACAAATTAATTCTTATGCCTCTTATCAAAATGGTCGCCCCAGACGTTTCCATAGTAATTAATTTTGCGAATGACATGCGCATAAAGATGCGTAAATTTCAAGATTGGTTATTCCTAAATTTTCACTTGAAGATGAAATAGAGCTTGATACTAATTCAATTTAATTTCAATAATTATATTGAGGTTTTTGGCTCTTGTTTTTGAAACATGAGAACTCTTATGTAGCGAAGGAATCATATTTTTTTAAAATAATTATAATATATATATACATATATATATATATATATTATAATTATTTTAAAAAAAATATACTTGGTTTCAGTGAGAAAATAAAAGAAAGAAAGAAGTAGAGGGAGGGAGAGAGAAGAGAGAGAGAGAGAGAGAGAAAGAGAGAGGCGTATCAGATTAATTTGATAAGAAAAGATACTACACTTTGATCTTAGACCGAAGGCCGAGAAGCAATAAAAGCGGCATTTTTTGGAAAGCACAGTAACGAACGACGGAAAACTGAGTAAGTCATTCGCCAAAACTCCAGTTACCATAAATTAAATTATATCGTCTGTTGAATTATTTTATAATTATTAGTTAGAGAAATGTTCGCAAGACGGGGATTTTTCTAGAAAGAAAGAAAGGGAGGACAGAAGTGTTTAATATCTCCTGCCAGTACCTCATAAATAATAGACTATTCCGTTTTGAAAGCGTAGAAAGATGAAAGTTTCACTGATATAGAAAAAGCTGTCAATTTCAAAACTTCTCCTTTTTACCAATTTCTTTAAATAACGGCCAGCATTCATATTTACGGTGATTTTGAAAGCGTTGGTTAGTTGTGACACAAGGCCGAAACCGTAGAGTAACCAGTTAGAGATTGACCTCACGACTTAGTCGTAATTGCTTTCGCGAGACAAGCTTGCTAATCATTACACCACGACGAGGTGCGCAAGTTTTCAAATTTATAATTGTTATTGAAATATTATTTTAAAGTTCTTAAGCTAAACTATTAAACAAAGTGATAGGGGAATTTCTTGCATGCATTCATTTCAATTTTTCTTATTAAGAACTGCATTGTTTCTTTCCAAGTCCGAGGGTGAATTGAAAAGGTCATAGGCTGACCATGAAAAAGTGATGCTAGAATTGTGAAATCTTGAATTAAATTAATTTCAAATCTTCTAATTAATAACTGCATTGTTTCTTTCCAGGTCCAAGTAGGGGCTGAAAATGACAGGCTGACCATGAATAAGTGATGTCAGTGCTGTGAAATCTTGCATGCATCAATTTCAGATCTTATTAATATCTCCATTGTTTCTTTCCAGGTTCGAGGGTGGGCTGAAAAAGTCATTTGCTGACCATGAAGGAGTGATGCTAGAAACTGTGAAAATCTTGCATGAAATTAATTTCAACTCTTCCAATTAATAACTGCATTGTTTCTTACCAGGTTCGAGGCAGGGGCTGAAAAGGTCATAGGCTGACCATGAAGAAGTGATGCCAGTGCTGTGAAATCTTGCAGGGATTAATTTCAATTTTTCTTATTAATAACTGCATTGTTTTTTTACAGGTAAACTGACATCTAACAGTTGAAATGCTGTTTATTTTTCGACATAGTCCGCCGTGAAGTTCACACACTTCTTCCATTGAAATGAATGCATGCAAGATTTCACGGCTCTAGCATCACTCCTTCATAGTCAGCCTGTGAACTTTTCAGCCCAACCTCGTACCTGGAAAGAAAAAATTCAGTTATTAATAAGAAGAGTTGAAATTAATGCATGCAAGATTCCACAGCTGTGGCGTCACCCCTTCAGTGTAGGCCTACGAACTTTTCGGCCCGCTCTAGTATACAATAAGTGTTGAAGACTAAACAACATTCCTTGCAATACCGGTGCATGCGAAAGTGACGATTGAAGAAATTCAATATCCAAACGTAACAGTTAAGAAAAATATTTCAATGGCGGACGAATATTTTTTTTTTGTTCTCACTGCCATGTCCCTTCAAGACGTTGACAACCAAAACTCTCCACAATTTCTGGCAGCATTTAGCAAAAAAATTATATTTTTGCTATCTCTCCTTATCGCGTTCTTGCCAACCATTAACACTAACTCGCTAGGCATGTCATGCGTAGCTTTCTCTGTATCTAGTGCCTGAAATATTCCCTTTGAGTGTCAGATTTTCGAAACCCTCTTTCCTCTTTCTGTTTTCATTAAAACTTTATCGCTACTCTCATGTTCAGCTTTTCTTCTTCTTCTTCTTCTTCTTCGTGCCGTATTCCTTCAGGATGTGGGTGATCATGGCTCTCCACAATTATCTGTGTTCTATCTCTCCTGACCCATGTTCTGCCAGCGATTTACACAAGCTAGTTAGGTAGGTTTAGCGTTGTTTTCCCCCCCCCCCCAGTCCCTGTTGACTTCAATATGTCATGCAAGTGCCAGGTTTTCTCAGCCCCTATTTCCACATTTTACGTCTCTTGCTGGGCCACCTAAAGAAAACATATTAAGAAAGTTGCGTATTTAGATAGATAGATAGATAGGTAGATAGATAAAGAGAGAGAGAGAGAGAGAGAGAGAGAGAGAGAGAGAGAGAGAATGAACAAACTTCGTTAGATAGCTATATCAATAATGGTAAAACTTCGATATATATATATATATAAATATATATATATATATATATATATATATATATATACAGATATATATATACAGATATATAAAATATATATATATATATATATATATATATATA